GCTCGGGATGTGTGCTATTTCATACTCGAGCTTTTTCTTTACCTTTTCCGAACTCGTGCATTCTCTTTCCCAACTGTCAAAGTAATGTCTATTAAAAAGAAAAAACCAACCACGAAGTTTTTACTAAAAAAATTCATAGAAGTTTTTATAATTCATGCAAATATTTCTAAAAAGAAGCTAATAATTTGTTTCAAAATCAGATTTAATGATTTGATTCAATGAGTTAGGTTAGGTTTCATTTCATTTCATCTCATTAAATTTCATTTTCATTTCATATCAATAAAAAAATTCTACTGAAGACTTGGCTGTATGAGCATAGTTCCCTTTGCCTACCTAAAATGGGTGAAGAAAACAAAAAATCTCTCCTCTTATAACTTTTATGGTTGGCGCCATTTTCCAAAAATGTTCTTTGCGAATTTTGTGCAACTAACAACTAAACAGTTGTTAGTTGCACAAAATGAGTAACTTCGACGATATTGTATTTGAATTAACACCGCCGGAATTCAGTATAATTGCACAAAATGCTTCGGAGAACATTTTACCTAAAAAGTCAAAAAGTCGCTACATATCTACATACGACGAATTTATTGCTTGGAGAGAAGAGAAAAAAGCAAATAGTTTTTCAGAAAATGTTATGTTGGCATACTTCTCCGAACTCTCAGCAAAATTAAAACCTTCTACGTTATGTTCGAGGTTTTCGATGATAAAAAGTATGTTGAAAATAAGGAACAACGTGGATATAAATGAATACCCAAAACTAAATGCTTTCTTAAAACGAAAATCAAACGGTTTTACAACTAAAAAGTCGAAAATATTAACATCGAATGAAGTGAAAAGGTTTTTGAACGAAGCTCCCGATGATCGTTATTTAGCCAGAAAGGTAATTTATTAATAAATACTTATATTTTTCTTTAGTATTCAGTTTACGAAATCGCATAATACAGTCAATATATTATTTAAAAAAATATTAAACAAATCCCTTTTTTGTAGGTTGCGCTGATTTTTGGCGTTGTTGGAGCTTGCCGCAGAGAGGAGTTAGCCAATATTACTTTAAAAGATATTAAAGCCCATGGAAAAATGCTACTAATCGAGATTCCGAATACAAAAAGTAAGACACCGAGAAGCTTTGTTGTTGAAGGAGATTTTCTTAGAATAGTGCAAAAATATATGAATCAGCGGTCCCAAAAAGCAATAACCGACCGTTTTTTTTTTTTAAAAATTATCAAAAAGGGAAGTGTACAGCTCTAGTAATCGTGATAAACAAATTTGATAATATGCCAAAAGAAATAACTACGTTTCTTGGTCTGCCGAATGCTGAATATTATACTGGATACAGCTTTAGGAGAACCTCTGCTACATTATTGGCATATTCAGGAGCCAATTTGACGTCCTTAAAGCGACTAGGAGGTTGGAAGTCAGACAAAGTTGCAGAAGGCTATATTGCTGATTCATTAAACAACAAACTAGAAACTGGGGAAAAAATCACACAATCCATTAATTTAAAGTGCAGTTCGTCTCATTCACATGGCAATACTGAAGAGAACGTTCGTCCATCTACATTCGTTAATAATGATAATTCATCAGATCTAATTCCATCACCTAGCAAATTCCATTGTTTAACACCTTTGACAAATATACATGAACAATCATACGAAATTAATAATAGTTTGTCTCAAACAGTAAATACGCAACCTAAAACTTCCTCAGTTAGTATAAAAAACTGTACCAATTTCAATGTATATGTGAATTATAACTATTTGAAATAAATGATTAGTTAGTTGAGTTTATTGTGTTTTTATTATTTTATTAAATTCCTTCATTTTTTCGCAACTGTATTAGAAATAGTTGTTCAGTTCACGTGCGGAACCGTCATTGCAACTTGTTCCGACTGTCAACCCTCAATTTCCAACCACCAGATCTCTGGTAAAAACATTGCACTTTGGTCCCGCTTTATTACTTCTTTTATAATGGCTCTATTGAAGCTACGTAAGTCATTTAGTACAATTGGAGAACTTTCTATTCAAATACATGTAAGATGTTATACCAGTTGAAGACTGCAGTTTTGTTACCTGTGAGCAACGATGTTAAGGCCAGTTTAGCCAAGAATCTTATTTTAAACACAATTTTAACGCGCGATAATTTATACTTTTTGAAACAGTATATAATATATACTTGGAAAAATTATGCGCATACATAAAATACGCAATTATTTTTTTTTTTTGATTATTGAAAGGATCTTTAGAATACTATATGGTACTGAGATAAAAAAAAAATATAATTTATTTGGCACGAAAAAAACTGGCGCTGTTGCGTCAATGCACAACCTTGCATTTTGTATTTTTCTATGTATTTTGTTAGTTAAGTAAGCCAGCATAACCTCTCATAACTCCTCACATCCGTTTCTTCCTGCACGGGCCTTCCTAATGGGGGTAGGGGCTAGATCTTGGTGGACGCATCTTTGTTCCTCCAATGAGAGGCGCGCTCCGCTTAGATGGAAGCGGAGACGGTAGTAGCTGTAAATGGCCGTGCGCTGACACCGTTCAATAGAATACAATTTTGGTGTGTCCACAAAGACCACAAGACGACAATGGTTAGCGGTTATCATCGTATCCGCATGGCCGTAGAGAGAGGCCGTTCGCCGCTTCCCTAAGTGCCCATCTTTCAATTATGAGCTGTTTTTATTTTGTTGTTCCTTTTTCCACAGCAGCTCATATTCTGTCATGCCAGCTAACGCTTTAAATTAAATTTATGGCAAGTATATTGTCCAAAGTCCGCCACGTACCACTTCCGTCATTTTGTTTGGATTCATTTTGGACAACGCTGATACAGTCGACTTGATCGTTCGTCCCGCAATACCTTTCGTCATTCGTGCACCCAGATAATCTAAAAAGTAGATTCTTCTTCGAGTTCATTTTTATTTAGATTCTTTATATTTTTTTTTCTATCAAATATTCTATACAAATATGCATGCAATGGAGAAGACAGGAAATATTCGTCTTAAGAGTTTGATTGGAGAGAGATTTTGGGTTTTCCTGCGATGAGTCTTGCAAAACTTAGCTCCGATAGCATGGACAGTTTCCACGAGCTTGTCATATTAGTACATATTATATCGTCCATTGTGGACATTGCAAACTTCTGCTGCTGAAAGGTTGACAGGCTGACAGCTGTTTACATGACCGTATTTAGACACGTATGGGACGTTATGGAGTAGTGCATATTGTAAATCTACCACTATACAGGAAATTGAAGATTGTGTCACTATAAGGTATGAAAATTTAAGCGGAACCTATCAGTTACTTTTAATGCTTTAAATTAGTTTTACGTAGAGCCACGCTGCAGCTATATTATGTTTGAAGTATAAATGGGTCGACTCAAACAGGCAAAAACCACGCTCTCACAGAATACCAGCGTAAAATAGGAACTTTATGCTACTGTGTATCATATGGTGAGTATAGAGACTGGAGATCCTTTTAAATGGAAACGAGGTATTCTATCTTAGTCCTCAGGTGTGACATTATATCTGCATTTTGATTTTTAATTGAGGATATATTTATATGTCTTAGGGCCACAGCATTCACTTACCATGTGGACTGTGTGCTGTCCGTCACTCTTATTTTATTTAAAAAAAAATTACTACATTCAGGGCGTTCGCTAAGTTAAAGTAACACTCTCCATCGATTTTTAAAAAAAATCTTATAATTCCAAAATTTCTATCATAAATGTTGCATATATTATCAAGATAGCAGCTATAAAAATAATTTTTAATTGTTAATTTACCGGTCTAAATGAGCATTTAGATTGGTTTATATAATATGTAAAATAACTATCGCTTTTTAAGGCCATAATAAACAAAATAACTGTTTTATTTTTATTTATTTTTTTGACGAAATAGTGTATGCAATCGTCTCTTAACAAGTCTTCCGTGGCAAGTCTTTAATTATTTCCATTGTAATTATGTTAAGTATAACCGCATACTTTACTTAAATTCCCAACTCATAACCTTTAATTTAATATATTCAAAGTAAAAAAAATCCAACTAATAATTTCTTTTAACAAATGCTTGTTGCAAAACTTCGTTACAAATTAGCATATACATTATAAAAATAACCTTTTAGAAGCATTTGGTTTATGCATTAATAACATTTAACTATTATTTGTACTCAACTACAGTTTAGTGGCAGTGTAAGAATATGCAGTATCCAATATCATCGTGACAGGTGACAGAGAATTGTAACAGCAGATGGGAAGGAGCGACGTACCAATAACTAACAGAATACTCGAATAAAAATACAACTGCGATTGCCAGCTCACCTGTCAAGCGTGGCAGTTGTGGCAAATATCCCCCTTATTATACAATCTAATGGGTAGATAAATGTTCGGCAGTGAAAATTTTATTTTATTTAATAACTCTCCTTTGACAGGCAGTAATGAATGAATGACCACAACCCAATTAGAAATGTTTTCCTTTCCTGAAAAAATTGAATCGCAGAGAAGGTCAGAAGATCATTTTAACACGTTAAACGCCGTGGGGGACAACATATGGGCCTCACTTATTTAGTAAAATGAGCCAGATTAAAAATGCCCGATTGTTAAATTTTACGTTTATGTTTTTATTGCTTTATGGGCTAGAAAATGTGCCAAATCACATGAAGTAAATCGAATAAAAGTAATTTGTGACTTGATTTTACCAAAATACTACTGTCACTCTACAGTTGCCCCCCATGGCCCACGCGGAAATAAATCGCGTTGTTCGTTGGCAGGGGCCGCGAGGGTCGGGGTGTCGATCATCCCCGCTCATGTCCTGCCGACCGCCGCCGGCCGTCTCGATACGCGATTCCCGCGCGCCCGTGCTGTGACCGTTTGGACTACCTAGCTACCTACATTGGATACGTATTGATACGAGAATTTTCTGTTTAATTGTTGTTTAAATTGTAAATTAAATTGTTTTTTATTGCAAATTAAATTGTTTTTTATTGCATTTAATTCATTGCTTTATTATAATGGATGAGTTCGCAGATTTCGAAATAAATCAGGAAGATTTATCACAAATAGAAGAATTAGAAATCACTTTGATGAATAATAGTTTCCATGTAAGCTCTGAAGAAGAAGACATAAATATCCATCTAGTTACTCGTAAACGTCGTATTATGGTGATAGACAGTGAAGAGAGTGATGTGGAAGAACATGCAGTTCCAGATACCACGGGAAACACTACGCCGTTTACACGTACATGGGTACTACCAACAGGTAACCAGCGTCGAATTATACCTTTCACAGAAAATCCTGGTTTGCCTACTAATCTCCGCTTAGCAAAGACTAACAAATCGCCTGCTGATTTTTACTCTCTTTTAGTTCCCTATGATGTTTTTATGCACGTAGTAGAAGACACAAATCAGTTTGCTATTGATAGAATCACCGGGCGCGTGGCTTCAAAAGCAGCGAGAATCCGTAACTGGTCTCCTTCTAGCGTGCATGAGATGAAACGCTTTTTTGCATTGATTATTTTTATGGGATTGGTAAAACTTCCTAAGCTTTCTGATTATTGGTCAAAAGATGAAATAACAGGTCACCCGTTTGCAGCAACAATTATGTCTCGTAATCGATTTGAAATGCTTCTTCAAATGCTTCATTTTTCCCAGCTTGACAATGCTCACAAGTCTGATAGGTTACATCGAGTAACATTTACTGGAGGTCATGAACACTAATTTTTCAAGGCATTATACTCTTGCCGAATATATATGTATTGACGAAAGCGTTGTGCCATTCCGCGGCAGAATCATTTTCCGTCAATATAACAAACAGAAACGTCATAAATATGGCATAAAAGAGTTTAAATTATGTACTCTACCGGGGTATACATATAAAATAAATATTTATGCGGGAAAAGAAAGCGATCAAGTGAATAATACGCCGGCAAACATTGTAATGTCACTTTGCAGTGGCTTGTTGAACAGGAGTCACACGTTGTATACTGACAATTGGTATACGAGTATTGATTTAGCAAGGAAGCTGTTGGAAAATGAAACACACCTAGTGGGTACTATTAGAAAAAATAGAAGGAATATACCAAAACAGGTTGCTAATGCTAAACTGAAGACAGGTGAATATACCGGGTGTTTGGTGGGTGGTCCGATAAACCGAAATGGGAGATAGATGGGTTCGTTAGAAGCATATTTTCTTAGTAAAATTTTTTTCTATCTCTTACCATTTTTTAAATGAATTTTTAACATTTTTTTTGTAACTATCCCAAATTGCTAGTATTTTGGTTCAATAACTTCTACTATATCTAGTTTTCTACATTTTTTTTTTATTTTTCCTAAGAAATATGATTTTTTTAATTAAAAGAAAGATTTAAAGCCCAAAAAAGGCATAAGAAAAAATACTTACGACACATTAAAAGTGAACAAACGTGAAAAAAAAATTGTAAGCCCTTAAGTTTTCAGCCACTTAAAAAAAATAAATAAATATGTTGAGTAATTTCAAATGGCCATCAAAAATTTTCTATTTCATCCTCTTTCTATCGGTATATCACATGTTACATAAAACTTTAGATTATCAACAAAATTGTTTATAATCAAATGTGAGGACGGGGTAATTAAAAAATTACAAGTTTCGTAAAAATTGCCAGGGCACCCTAAACTGGTTTTTACCCGTGTTAACATTTTTTATGGTTTCATTCCTGCGTGTGCGAGGCAGGTAGATGTTGTCTCTTTCTGGTGGTACAGGCGAAGTTACGATGCGCGGATCAGCTACCTGCGTCTGTTGTTATTAAATTTAGTCGTGATTTGACTGTCTCTGAAGCTACTTGCGAGTTCTTTTTCGACATTAATTGTTGAACAGTTTCGTTGAGTTTAGTTTTTGTTTCGTTGATTGTTAAGTTTTTGTTGAAGTTTTTGTTTGTTTGTTATTTGTTTCTGTTTCACGTTCAAACTTAATTCAAAACACTGCAGTGATTATGGCTCAACGCACTTATTTTACTAACCAAGAATACGCTGATATGCTTTTGGTTTATGGCGGGGCCCTGAATAACGGCGACAGAGCACGTAGACTTTATGGAGAGCTGTATCCCACGAGAAGGTTGCCTAGCCATGATACGTTTGCAAATACTTATAGAAGGCTACGTGAAACTGGCAAATTGCAACACAGGGAACCAGGAGTACGTGGAAGACCACTTGATGTTGCTGTGGAGGAGCGTATCTTGGCGGCTTTTGACGATGATCGCACTATAAGCATTAGAAAAGTAGCGACTGAACTCGGCTTTTCTGTATGGAAAGTGTAGTCGGTTCTCCGCAACGATTGCAAGCACCCATTTCACCTTACCCCAGTGCAAGGTACTTATTATTTCTTCTTTTTATAAAATTACTGTTTATCTTATCCATTATTAATTATTTCGTACATTTTAAAGTGAGTAAAGTATACTACTTACTTATTATACTTATACAATTTTTTTGTGCTTGTGCTTCAGAGACAGTCAAATCACGACTAAATTTAATATCAACAGAAGCAGGTAGCTGATCCGCGCGTCGTAACTTCGCCTGTACCACCAGAAAGAGACAACATCTACCTGGCTCGCACACGCAGGAATGAAACCATAAAAAAATATTAACACGGGTAAAAACCAGTTTAGGGTGCCCTGGCAATTTTTACGAAACTTGTAATTTTTTAATTACCCCGTCCTCACATTTGATTATCAACAATTTTGTTGATAATCTAAAGTTTTATGTAACATGTAATATACCGATAGAAAGAGGGCGAAATAGAAAATTTTTATGGCCATTTGAAATTACTCAACATATTTATTTATTTTTTTAAGTGGCTGGAAACTTAAGGGCTTACAATTTTTTTTCTCGTTTGTTCACTTTTAATGTGTCGTAAGTATTTTTTCTTATGCCTTTTGGGCTTTAAATCTTTCTTTTAATTAAAAAAATCATATTTCTTAGGAAAAATAAAAAAATGGTAGAAAACTAGATATAGTAGAAGTTATTGAACCAAAATACTAAAAAATTGGGATAATTACAAAAAAATGTTAAAAATTCATTTAAAAAAATGGTAAGAGATAGAAAAAAATTTACTAAGAAAATATGCTTCTAACGAACCCATTTATCTCCCATTTCAGTTTGTCGGACCACCCACCAAACACTCTGTATAGCTAGAGAGAGCGAAGATGGAATAACTATCATGAAGTGGAAAGATAAAAGGGACGTACTTGTTCTTTCGACCAAACATTCCGACCGTTTCCAGACAATTACAAAGCGAAGAAAAGCGGTATGGAAGCCAAAAATCGTGCTAGACTATAATAGGGTAAGAGGAGCCGTCGATTTGTTCGACCAAATGGGGGCTTATTCCACGCCATTAAGGAAATCGGTAAAATGGTACAAAAAAGTTGCCATAAACTTGCTGTTGAACACTGCAGTTATCAATGCACTAGTATTATATCATACAGTAACCGGGACGCAAATCCAAATTGTTGAATTTAGGAAACAGGTGTTGAAGGGCCTGTTAATGAGAAGTTAAACCTCAAGTCAGGTTTCAAGACCAATAAGAATGAAGCATAAGCTTGCCAGGAAAGACGGCACAAGCAAAAATTGTCGACGAACATGTCAGCAGTGCTACAAAGATAAGATATTAAAGTAATGGGACGAATATTAGCCAAAAACAAGACGAAAAAAGTTTTAACTTTTTGTGAAACCTGCCCTAACAAAACATTTCTTTGTTTTGATTGTTTCCATAAAATTCATTAAAATATTAGGTGTAGTAACGTTGATATTGATCTGAATCTGAAGTCTGATTTAATTTTGTTTTATTTAAAAACTGTAGTAAATAATAACATTAATAAATAATTATTATATTTCTGATTTACAAACCTATAGTTTAATTCATCAAAATATCCACGAAAAATTAAACCCTAACAGCTATGTAGTACAACTTTCACCAGATACATCAGAATAGTAACAGTATAGAGTATTTTACAACACATTATAAATAGTAATTTTATGGAAAAATATAAAATAACACATTATCATACACACTTTTTCCTTAAAATCTTTCAAACAAGTCTTGTCCCGAAATTATTAGTCATATTTTTTAAGTCATATTTTTTACTAAAAACCAAATACAATCTGTTTGTCTGCAGGGTCGTGGGGGTCACGTCAAATACATATTAGCTTCATATCTGTGCCCGACGGCCCAATAGAGACGTTTAAAATCGCCTCTGACTCGTGGTCATATATTGTCCATCGCGGCCCCAACGGAACAGTTAAGTATCGACCAAATGGTGCCCCCCATAGCCCAAATGAAAAAACGAAGAGAACGCACTGGCGTTCAACGTGTTAAACCTTATCTTAAAGATGATAGCAGTAAAGAAAAAAATGTTTGCTAGCACACTGTGATACACTTCTGAGTAACTCATCAAAAACCAGCTACTTCTAGATTACTTGGAAACTCGAATTTTTAAATCAAGATCATTAAACGTCACTAAGCGCAAACATAGAATAATCTGAGAACAACATATTATTGATATTTATAGTAACAGGCGTTGACAAACCTATGGGTCGGTTACTTTTTAGTGCAGTACTTTTTTTTTTTTTTTTTGGATGAAAAATCATCTAATGACCCCTTTCGCTCTGGGTGGAGCGTAAGGGAGTGTCGAACTTTTACTGACTAAAAACCATCCGTGTTCCTTCAGTGCCCTTACGTTCCGGAGCCGCGGTATCTCTTTCGAACAGCCCGCAGCCCCGGCAGGCGTCGGCCCTTGCGGGCCCCTTCACGCTGCTGACAGCTCTTTGAGGCGCGCGTGGAACAAAACGCGCCGTCGACACGGCCTTTCGTCATTAGACGGACGGACGACGAGCTACCCATTGCTCGCCGTCCACAGGCCCGCGCCTACGGTGGCCGGGGGCCACGACGTAGCCCCCGACGCCCGGGGCGTCTCCCGCGGCGGCCGGGGAGGAAAGCTGCTGCTCTCTCCTTCTCCCGCTCCGCCACCTCCTTCGCCAGCATCACTGCTTCGCAGAAGGTGGTGACGGCATCCCATTCCGTCTCGCTCCGGACCATGGCTTCGACCAGGGCCGGACGCGAGAGGTCGCCGCCGCCTATCGCCGCTACGAGGACCCGGCGGTGCTCCGCCCAAGCAGGGCACACTTCCACGGTGTGTTCCACCGTGTCCTCCGGTCCATCCTCGCAGTGGGAGCACCCGGGCGTTTCCTCCCGCCCGATTCGGTGCAGGAACCTCCCAAACACACCGTGTCCGGTGAGGACCTGCGTCAGGCGGAAGGTGAGGATGCCGTGGCGTCTCTCAAGCCACTCCTCAAAGAGGGGTCTTATCGCCGCTATAGTGGCGTGCCCAGCACGGGGTTGCGACAGTCGCTGTCTCCATGTCGCCATGAGATCGTGCCGGAAGTCTGTCCGCTGCGCGACAACTTGCCGCGGCAGCGGGGTTTCCCCACGGCATAGTGCCTCCGCACGCCATTCGTGCAGGCGCGCGAGGACTATCGCCTCCAGATCCCATGGCGGCAATCCGGCAAGGAGGCTCGCCGCCTCGCGGGAGATCGTGCGGTAGCCGCGAACCATTTTCACGGCTATCACCCTTTGGGGCGCGTTCAGGTGGTGGACGGCAAGCCGCGCCAAACCACGCGCCCACACCGGGGCCCCGTAAAGGGCCATGGACCGCACGATCCCCGCGTAGAGCCTCCGGCAGGAGGCGTTTGGCCCTCCCAGGTTCGGCAGGAGCCGCCTGAAGGCAGCCCCGGTCCGTTCCAGTTTGGGAGCCAAACGTCGGAAGTGCTCAACGAAGTTCCATCGGCCGTCGAGGACGAGTCCTAGGTACTTCAGCGTCGACTCGACGTCGATGGATACCCCTCCTACCATCACTGAGGATCCCGGTGGTGGCCTGTTCCGAGGACCATGGAAGTGCATGGCCTCGGACTTGTGCAGAGCCACCTCGAGACCCAGTTGCCGAATCCTCTCAACCACTATCGCAACCCCGCGTGTCATATTTTCCGCCGCCGCCTCGTACGACCCCCCTTGTGCCAGTACCAGCGTGTCGTCAGCGTAGCAAACTACGCTGACGCCGGTAGGGAGGTCGGCGCGCAGCACCCAGTCATAACCGATGTTCCACAGAGGTGGCCCCAGAACCGAACCCTGTGGGACACCGCACGACATCTCTCGCCGGTTCCACTCACCGTTGCGACCGGGGTAGATGACGGCCCTGTCCGTCAGGTAGTCCCCGACTATACAACGGAGATAGGTCGGCACCCGGTGATACCGGAGTGCCTCCCTAATGCAGCTCCAGGGCATGGAGTTGAAGGCGTTGGCGATGTCGAGAGACACCGCCAAGACAACCCCCCCTCTGGCCACTGCATCCCCCGTCGTGAGGGCTCTCACGCGCATGATGGCGTCCACCGTAGAGCGCCTTTTTGCGGAAACCAAACTGGTGTTCCGCAAGATCCGGCCCCGTCCCCGCAAGGTGCTCGGCGAGGCGGTTTGCAATGACTCTTTCAAAGAGCTTGCCCACCTCGTCGAGCAGCACCACGGGCCGGTATGCGGACGGAGAGTCCGCAGGGCGCCCCGTCTTCCGAATGAGGACCAGCTTCCCCGTCTTCCAACGAAGCGGGAATTGGCCTCTCTCCAAGCATGCGCTTAGGAGCCCCTCCAGTCGGGGCCCGAGAGCCTCCGAGGCCAGGATCCAGGCTTTGCCAGGCAAGCCATCGGGTCCTGGGGCGGTATTCCTGGCCTTGAGCCTACGTACCGCCACTCTCAGGTCTACCCCGGTCCCTTCCGGGATGTCGTCGTCGTCGTCCTGGTGGTCCGCTTCCGGCACCGCAGGTGGCGGAGCCATAGGCGGGGGCGGATGTTCCCGTCGCGCAGGGAACAGAGCGCTCACCACGTCCTCCACGAGCTGGGGCCGGAGACTTTGCGTCAGCGGGGGGGCCCAGGTGCGGAGTTTATCCCGAACCATCTTGTAAGGGCGCCCCCACGGATCTCTGTTGAGAGTCTCCAGCATCTCCTCACGGGCCCGATCCCGGGCCCGCAGGACAGCCTCCCGGAGGGCGTTCTTCGTCGCTCTGTATCCCTCGTACAGCTCCGCCTCAATGGCTGCCGCATTCGGTGGACGAATGCGGAGCCGGCGATGTCTGGTATACAGGTGCCGCGCGGCGACACACGCCTCGCGCAGAGACGTCAGCTCACGCGACCACCAATACACCTGACGCCGGGCGCTTCCTGGCCGGACGCGGGGCATTGCCACGTCACATATCTCGGACATGGCCTCCTGGAACCACC